TTGTGTTCACAAACACCCCCGCCTCTGTTGGTACACATTTACTGACACAAACATTTGTATCATCTGTTGTAGACCCAAATACATTAAATCAAATAAGAACTCATTCACAAAAAAGATAAACGCCATTCTTAAAATGTATAAACGAACAATAGTTTGATTAATATTGATTAGAGTGCACAATAGAAATAAAATAATTGAGAGAAGAAAAAGAGATATGTTATCTATCAAAACCCAGTTAGATTGCACACTTTGTTTGTTTGGATATGTAGTAAATTAACATTTTAAATAGCACTTAATGACTGACTGAATGGAAATGACAATAAATGAAAATGTAAAACGAAAAAAGCGATCATGAAAATATTTCCAATAAATGAATAAAATGATTTTTGACCACTTTGTTGTTCAGATATATCACATATTTGTAACTAAATGATACATGAATTGAAACAAAACACAGTATAAACTGAGGAGTGACTCCCGTGAGGTTCATGTGTTTTCTTCACTCCGCTGGGAAACTGCTCTCATGTCAAGAAGCATCAGATCAGCGCATGCGCTGCATCGTCCAATCAGTGAGCGATACAGAGTAAGGGGGCGGGGCGAGTGTCTGAGGATTTCATCGATGGATGGTCTGGTGGTTCCTCGATTATAGCTCCACCATTATCGCTCCTCGCTCCTCTGGCAGAAATAAGGCCATTGTGACGCTACTCAAGATGGCGCAGACAAATCAACTTCCGGTGAGAGCGAGGAAATGAAAAATAAGAGAAGTGAGAAAGGCCCTATGCCTTACATTCATAATGTCAGCGGAGGGAGGGGAAGCGGCGCTGTGGAAGAGCAGAGTGGCGAGTGAGAGGCGAGCTGTGTTCTTCCCTTTACAAGCTTAAAAAATGCCTGTAGCTAATGAGATTGAATATAACAATCAAAATATACACAGCTAGATCAGATGGCGTTCCAACTTCTTTTTAGATGCGACTTTAGAGTAGAGGGGAATTATTGAAACGGGATGTGTACAGTGTTCCACGGCATCCGCTGCTGCGAAAATGTGGGGCAGGGCCGTAAAGTGGGGGGGCCATTGGCTTCCGGCGCCCTTGATTCCACATAGCCTATCAATGACTTGTGTGTGCTTGCTTTCCCTTGCAGTTCTTCTCAAACTGGGGCTGTTGTTTTGAGACTGCCCCTCTCAGTTCATTCTCAATGTTCAGCTTTGATCTGTATCGTGTGATTCTGTTTATTTGTACCTTACTTTGACCATCCGTTCACTGTTATTGATCATTGTGGAGAGAGGCAGACGTTTTGTTTTGTATTATAGCAGCTATCGGATGGAATCAATACATGGGCTGCACAGGTTGTCGTGTCCGACTATCACTAGTAGAATCATAATAAAAATACGCCGGTAAAATGTGCCTGTAGAAAACGGTTTATGCCACAATAGAATAGCAATAGCAAGTAGTCAGTTTAGCTTCGGTTGCTATGCTAACATCACCCATTTTATACCAGAGAAACGTTCATAACAGCGTTGTGATACCAAACAGCGTGAATTCAGACTGACACACATTCACTTAGGCTAAGGGGAACTGGGGATATGTATCAGCTGCTTGTGTGAGTCGGACAGTGAATACTTTAGAGCGCAGTGTGAGCTAACCGGGAGCTAACGGAGGAGAATAAACTCCCGTGGAAGAGCAGCCAACACTGCAGCGGTCGGTAAATGCTGCAGAAACACATTAATAAACAATGAACCACGGCGAAAAGCATAAGGTTGGAGAAGTCGTTATTCAATTTATTCTGGCTTCGTGTGATTAAAAGCAACACGATCATCGACCCGACGCAGTTCCCCGTTGTTGTTGTGAGCGCCGTAATGCCGTTGGGGAGCAAATCAGCGATGTAAACGGTGACGTCATGACGCAGCAGCGGCAGCACCAGTCGGGTGCTGGGCGGTGTGACAGAGCGGGAGCAGAAAAGGGAAACCGGAGCTGAACCAGAAAAGCTCTAGCTCGGAGCTAGAAAGAGAAAAGCGCTGGTGTGAAAGCCGCATAAGTTAACTATCTAAACACTCAGAGAGTCCTTTACCTCACCTGAGCTGAGGTTATCCCTTGAAGCTTGAATGACACACGGAGACCAATCAAGGGCTTTGATTTATGATCTGTATGACAGTAGCCATGTCGGCAGGCCACATCATGTAGACAGCCAGTCACCCTGTGTGAGGCAGGCCACTTAACATGCCTGGCCATCGGGAAACCCCCCGGTCCTCCTGATGGCCAGCCCGGGACTGGGTACAGGAGGCGTAGAGCGAGGGATCATTGTCCACAAGTAAATCAATCGCGGATGGCGTCGTGATCTCGGACGAAAACAAAAAGATTATTGAGAAAAAATACTAAATGGGTCGCGAAATATACTTGGGCGGCCGTTACGATACCTGGGCGGCCCGCCCAAGTATAGTCTGTGTGGGAAACCCTGAGTTTCTGAACAGATATGAGGAGCTGTGAGCTTGAGTGCTAACGGCTGAAGTTGGTTTTCTGTGGTTCGCATTGAAGATGACGTCACGGCTCCGCCTACACTGCGTTACTATAGTTACTGCCCCTACTAAACTGTAATGGAAACGCAGCATAAAGTGAGCCAGTCCTAACAAGGCCTAACTATACCGTACTAAGCCGAGCGAGGCCCTGCAATGGAAATGCGCCATTTGAGAGCCAGTGATAAACTGGGCCGAGATGGTAATTATAGTCTGAGGTCAGAGAGAGTATAAAAAGGGAGCCTGGCTCTATCTGAGACGACTTTGTCTGCATATTTACTCCTCCAGATGCTCATTTGACAAACCAGACCCATGAAGTCGACTGTTGGTTCTTTTATTTTATTTATAAGAGAATAGCTCTTTTGTTCCTGCTCATAATGTATCCATTGATGACGAGCGGGGCTGGTTCACACAGGACCTCTATGTTCATAAATGTCAGATACAGACACACCTGTGAATAAGCAGAGGTCAGCGCCGTCAATCCCCTAAGTGGGCTACAACTTTCTCAAAGAAAAGGTTCTTGTGTAACGAAACATTAAATATTTGAACGTCTGCAGTGTTGGAATGTAGAGTAACTAATCACATTGACTTAAGCTTTGCACTTCTGGAAAGTACAAGTACCTGAAATCTGTACTTGAGTATTTCCATTTTTATTCTCCTTTATACTTTACTTAATAATCACCTTTCAAAGAAAATAAAATGACATTTAAAAGCTTTAATACAACATAGATTGTTAAAGAATGAGACGGTTGTTACCCAAATAAACTATCAAATATTTCTCAGATATATTTAAGGGGCCCTATTTGGATCATTTTCAGAAAGCTCTTTATTTTCCTCACGCTCCCTCTGCTGTAGCACCCTCTGTCTGAAACCAGAGCCCATTCTGCTCTGATTGGTTAGCTGGCTGGTTCTGTTGTGATTGGTGAACAGCTAAGAGATGTCCAATAGACTTAAAACTAGATCCTTAAAACAGCAAAAAGCTACAGCAGCAATGTGTTTCTTCTAAACATGTTTGTATTGGTACTTTTAATTAGGGATGCACCGAATATTCGGCCACCGAAAATTATCGGCCGAAAATGGTTAAAAAGGCCCTTTCGGCTTTCGGCCGAAAGGGTTTTAGCACCGAAAAAATATCACCGAATGTCAGAACAGGCTTGCGTTGGTAATCTAACGTGTTGTTGTGATGACGTAATAAAGACGCGGCGACCATGCTCGCGGCTGGCTCACAGGGGGGGGAACATTGACCTTTGTCATCGAGATTGCCCTGAGCCTTTAACAAATCGTATTAAATAATCTGATGACAGACTGTAAACAGAATAGCTGAAATTTTAACAAACTAAATAACTCAGTTACCTCTAATCATTAGCCCATGTTTGTATCATGTAGTTAACTCCGTGTGTTGCTGCTAGCATACATAACACCTGACGTGGAAACGTTACTCGTGGATGGTGCTACAGAGCTGCTAGAAAGACGGTCGAACCCGGTACATTCCTCCGTCTGCATGCGGTGCACTTTTGCTAAATGTTTAGACAAATTGCTCGTGCTTACATGCTAAACTCTTATTGCACTTATGGTAACAAGTATTCTCCACATCGAGACGGGTAAAGTTTAACCACACCTCGGAGCGCGTTCTCTCCGCCATCTCCGCAGTGTGCTCTGCATGTAGCAGCTGCGTGTGTGTAAACTGCCCCGCCCCCTCGCACACAGACGGGAGAGAGATCTCGTCTGATCGAAAATACATCATAGACGCATTTGTTGTCTTTGCATATTAGAAACGAGTTGGCGACACTAAGACTGCGATATAATGTTTTTTTAGCAATAATACATGACATATATAAATGTACTGTATGCATTCAAAAGTGCTGAATAAATGTTTTATGGACCCATAATAGTGATTATTATTTAAGTTAAGTTTTGCCATAATCATGTCTATTTCCATAATCAGGTAGCTGAACAACATTGGTAAAAAATGTATACATTATATATATATATTTCTATTAATCATTTTCGGCCTTTCGGCATTCGGTTTTCGGCCAACTGTTTCCTATTTTCGGAATCGGTTTCGGCCAAGAATTTCCCATTCGGTGCACCCCTACTTTTAATTAGATTGCAGGTGTGAGTACTTCTTCCACCACTGGTCAAACTTTGAAACTGCTTTGTTGTCTTTTGTCTTACATTTTGAAGCTGTTCTTCCAACAAGTCGGTTACTTTAACGTTGCCATCTCACCTTTTAGAACACATTTTAGTTTTGAAAGCACTGAAAATAAAATGCCTGACTCCTCACTTTGCTTGACACGCCTCTTGTCATGTTGTATAATTGTCTTGTCATTTTCTGTGTTGGTTATAGTGATTTCATTTCATATGATACAGATATCTGCAGAGCTCTTTGATCTAAAGTGCTCTCTAACTGCTGCTAACATGCATGGGACTCTTTTACCAACAACAACAACGACAACAATGTGATTAAAATGTGTCCCTCTGTGTTTTGTCCCAGTCTGCAGGTTGCATGGTAATCTGGATTTGATGCATGGCAGTTGCATGACCGCAGTAGGTCTTGTTGCGGGACTAAGCACACAGCTGCAGCCATGGCACAAACCATGCACGTGAATGGCAATGGCTCAGGTAAACATCCCTTTTGATACAATATTTTACCATTTGAGCTTCCACTTTCTTTGGATTTTAATTGTGCATGTATTGAAGATGTTGGATGTCCATTTGTTTTTCTTTGTGTTTTATATCTACTTTTTGTTTTTTGCACATGCGTGTTGTTTATCAGACTGACTAGTTGCTGTTGTTTTGTAGAAGGATTCTCTGCTGCCTCATGCTCAACATGTGCTCATCCCTACTAAAATAAAGATGGCCGTATGAGGATACAATGGGGCTAAATGTAGATATAGGCGTTCAGTTTCAGGCTTGTGTCAGACATGTATATTTAACTGCTGAGCTCCTGCATCACATCTGCCTCTGTCTTACGTTACACAGAGGGTAGGCTTTCCATCCTTGCAACGTAGAAAAATACTTTATTTTTACCTAAAGTTAATGAGTTCTTATCATTATTATCATGTCATTAAAGTGGTACACATATTTTATGAAATGTTTAAGTTTTTAGCATCTTGCCATCACATTACATAAAAAGTTGAACACTTAGTCATATTCTTCTGATATTTACACACATTTGTATTACTCTAGCAACAGCACATTTTAATTTGTGCTGTGTGTATTTGTGGACATAACATTTTTATGGGCCTTGGACATACTGTTAATCCTAATCAGGGGGTCCGCGGGGTCTTAAAAAGTATTTAAAAGTTGATAAATCAATTTAGCGAAAATTTAGGCTATTAAAAAGTATTAAACGGCATTTTCCAAGGCATTACATTTTGTAGCTTGTTTTCAATAAGTATATGAATTGTCCAAAGAGGTTGTATTCTACAGTGTGCCTGAATGTAATCATTGCATAGGTGTGTAGTGTGATTCTGTGTAGTTTATTTATGGCATCCCGTTTGGTTTGACGTCATCTGAACAGGACATCGCACGCTCAATCGGATCTGCTTGATCCGTTTGAGCTGGTTGTTAAACAACATCGTTATGGGGAAATGCAAGTCTGCGTCCAAATGGTTGGAAGATAAGGAGGAAGGACAATCAATACTGTAGATCAGGGGTGCCCAACCTTTTTTGAACCGAGAGCTACTTTTAAAGTTGCCAGTCTGCCGAGATCTACCAGTCCAAATAGAGAGGCGTAGCCATTACTGACAGCCTACTGCCAGGTAAATACACACTTCTACCTGTATAAAACTGACCTTTGTACGATGAATACTTCATAAAATACTGCAGATCCTTTATCTTACCTCTTTCTAATCTACACACATACAAGTATTTAACTGAAGTTACACAACAGTGTTGTTGATACAGAGTTGGAGTTTATTCACACGTCACTACAGTGGGTAATGTTTTCAAGAAACATTGAACAGTGCTGCCACATATGACACAGGAAAAAAGAAAAGACTCTGAACTCTTTCTTTGCCATTATATAAAAATAGTGTTGCTACAAAAGTATAAATTAGGCTTACTAATAAGACAACTCAGATCTGAAGCTACACAGGAATCTGCTGCCAAAGTGCAATAAAAAAGACAAAATTAATAGAATCAAACCCTTTTTTGTTGCATTTTAGTAGATTATAAAAAGAAATGATGAGATGAGACAGATGGACTTTGAATTGGAATAGATACAAAAATAATCATCCTCCCACTCGGAGTGAAAATTATATATTTTGGGCTTTTTTGCTTCTGCCGTAATTGCGGTCTTGTGTGTGTGCGGACTGTCACTCCTGTTGACACGGACAACGTCAGCGAAATAGTGCCAACTGCCCACCAGCCACGCCCCGACACATGGGGTCACGCCGGCCAATCACAAAGCTTTGATGCGTTCAAGTGCATTATTCTGGCACAGGAAGATTATGTTACAGGACATTAACGATAAAACAGAATGTTGTTGTTCTATTTTTAGAGACATCTCGCGATCGACTGGGAATCTCCCCGCGATCGACCGGTCGATCGCGATCGACTGGTTGGGCACCCCTGCTGTATATAGTCAATGTGAGGTAAAGTGTGTCGCCAATGTAACCGGTTAAAACTCAAAGTGGCGATGAGGTCTTAAAATGTATGGAAAGGGTCTTAAAAAAGGTCTTACATTTGACTTCAGGATTCCTGCATATACTCTGCTATCTGACAGTGGACACATTTATTTGCTCCTCTGGAAGTTATTTTCTCATCCCTTCATGTTTCTGTAACACACCGAGGTGTTCATGAGGATTTCCACACTTCAGTGTGAAGCTGTCAGTTCCGAACACACACACACACACACACACACACACACACACACACACACACACACACACACACACACACACACACACACACCTGTAGACGACTCACATTCCTGTCGGGACTAACAGGAGAGAGTGAAGCTTCTTATTTCCCAAATCCCTTCAGGAATGCTCAGCATGCAGGACAGATGCTTTCAGGACAATCTGCCACCTCCACGTAAACATGACTTTGAGATATGATCCTCTTTTTTTACCATGCAGAATATTCAAGAAAGATGTTAAATTGACTTCAAAGGCTAGGTTACCACCATCTACCTTTTTATTGATCAATTGTAACTTTAAGTATGTTAAAAAGGCTGAGGAATGCTACACTACCACTGATAGCCCCCCACCCCCCGCTGAAAAAGTAAAAATATCTTCTCTGTAGTGTTGGCTGTTAACATGCCAACGTGGTCGCCTGCTGCCCAGAAAGAATTTGAAGAAAACGGTGAAACTCAACCTGTTGTTGTAGAGATGCTCCTGCTGTAGCGGATTAGGGGATCTTGTATTCGCCGTGATATCTTGAGAAAACTGACATTGTTTTCTCTGCAGCCAGAATATGACTTTATTAACTCTCTTTAAGGGACACTTGTTAAATCACTGATTAAACACATGCAGTTTAGCCTTTATTCTACTCGGCATGTAAAACATGTATATATTGTCTTCTGTTCCTCTGGGGGAGCTTTAGGAAGCTGTTCTATCAGCTTGAGCTACAGACTTTAGTGGGGAGTCTTATCTGCTTCTAACTGTGAAGAAGTGCCCAACACACAATACAATAGCCTTTAGTTTTAAGCCAGTTTGCTTTGCATTTAGGCTCTCTCAGATGACTGGATGCTGTCCTCAGAACTATTTAGCTGGTAATCGGTATAAAACATTAGTGATCATTAGACAAATATCCCTCATACTGACCATTTTTAAGACAATTACAGAATGATGATGAACTGAAGTTATATTTTTGTCCACTGCCAAAAAAAAACAAACATCTTCCCTCATGCAGGGTAGTCGTTGCTCAGAGCAGAGATTACAGCCTAGGCCTGAAAGGAATGCAAGCAGTCTGCTGAGGACAGAGCGCAGCGGTCTGAATTTTTCTGACGGGTCGACCCCCGACTGCTTATTCAAACCCACTGAAGTGGTTTTGTTTCCTCAGAGGGGACAGTTACCCAGCTGCTACTTGAAACCCCCATGGTACTGTTTTCTTGCTGTGGCCCATCAGTCACTTTCCTATTATGTGTTTGTATAAGTGCTGCTTGCTTATAATTACAGTAGTGCCAAAGGGGCACAGCACTGTCTTTGTAAACTAAACCGAATAATGGTTTGTTTTATTCACTAGACACAGCAGTTTTGCTGAATACATGTTTAACTGATTTGTTTACATGTGACTGTAACTTAGTGTGCACTAATTACAATAGTGCACTTCACAAATCATCTAGTTTAGTCTGAAGAACAACATGGGATAGCCTTATTTATATACATATATTGCATGAAACTTCCAATTAGCATATTTTATATAAACTGAATGAATCCTCCTACAAGTCTCTCTAAAGCTCAGTAATTACCCCAAAACTAAGTGTACATTTAACATGTTGTAGTTTTGTGTGCCAGATGTTGTTGTTCTGTCTTTTTGTTCAATAAAATGGTCGATTAGAGTAAGTAAAACATTTAATTGTTGGGCAATTTGCTACAACAGCCATTTTTAGCTGGTCAGTCCAACACTCTGGTTTATGACCAAACACCTTCAGAACTAATGACTTCAGCAAGGGCTTATGTTGGCATGCTAACACACTTTCAGTATACCTGCTACAACCTGCAGATGTTTAGCATTGCCATTGTAATAGCTTTAACATGATGTCAGCATTTTGCCTCGAATGCTCCAACTTGTTGACTTTTAGTCCTGTAAAAATAATGTTTAGCAAAAAACAAATGCCCGTTTTGATGCATTGAAAAATGAAAATGTGGTAAAACATGATTTATTTTGCACCTCCAGTCTGTTTTTAGGGGTTGTTTGAATGCAATGTGTTTTGTAGATGGGAAGAGTGTTCCACTATTTATGCAGAAGCATTTATGGAAGTTATGGCGGTGATAACATTAACTGGTTTGATGTAAAATATATAATATGGAACTTCTAGACGGTCATATTCTCAGGTTTTCATTGCTTTATATTATTTCAGATCCGTTGACTTGAAAGAACCCAGTCTGCTAACCCAGTCTCTTGATTGTTTTGCTTGACCATCTATGAGGGAAGAATTGGGCAAAGTTTTCCAAACTGCCTCGATGTTTGCAGAGGAGGGCCAAACATTTCCTTCCTGCTGCATCATCATGTACGGAGTTAAGTTGTTGAATTTGGCAGCAGAGTCTTGCACGGCCCTGTGACTTTCTAGAAGAAGTAATATATCACAGCCAGCGCCTCTGCTCTGCTCCGTTTGGAAAGGGCAGGAATGTGCAGCTTTAACGCACGTATCGTCCTTTTTGACTTGTTTCCTGTTTTTTATATAGCCAATGTATCTCGCTGTTCCTGCTGCACTATGAGGCGTTGATGAAACGTTGGCTCTACTTTTTCTTGAGTAATTAGGCGTATAGAGCTCGCAGGCAGAGCCAGGAAATACCAGGCTGGTTGTATGAGAAAAAGTGTGTGTGTGTGCAGCCACCAGAGTCCCCTCCCCAGGCATTGCATAATGCTTTGCTCTCACTCACTTTATTGCAGTGGGTGTGTGAGTACCACACTGTATTCATTATTCCACTCTGCAGCTGTGTGTATGAGCG